AACCGCTGAACTGCAGATAGCAGTCAGCTGAAGTGGCCTGCAGTACTGCACCCTAACCACTGCGCCACCTCGGCTATATCTTTAAACAGGCCAATACCCTCTTCATTTCTCAGATTTTCAATTTTAATTGGAAAAATAATAATAATAGCCTTTATTGTCATTGTATATCATCTATACAACAAAATTGGTTTAGTCTGTACTGATGCAATCCATAACAAAAAATACAAGACAATACAATTCCCAATTTATACAAGTAATTGGGGAAAGAAAACACTAGTCATATGTTTCCATATGTACATGGAGTGATGGTGGTCATGTTTAGGAGTCTGACAGCCTATGGATAGAAGCTGTTTTTAAACCTGTTTGTCCAGCTGGTTATACTTCAATGTCTTCTGCCCAATAGTAAAAGTGAAAAGAGACACTGAGAAGGGTGTAAATCATCCCTACATATCTTTATTACACTGCTGAAACAGTGAGACCTGGCAATGTCATCCAGTGGTGATAGAAGGCAACAAATAGTTTCTTGTGCTGAATTGATCACATTGATTACAAAAAGAGCTCATTTGACCCAATTTTACTAATATAGCAAAAACAATCCTAAGAATAGAATAGAATAGAATAGAATAGAATAGAATAGCTGGAAGGGACCTCCAATGTCTTCTAGTCCAGCCCCCTGCTCAAGCAGAAGACCTTATACCATTTCACACAAGTGGCTGTCTAGTTTCTTCTTCCCCAGTGATGAAGCATTCACAACTTCTGAAGGCAAGTTGTTCCACTGGTTAAGTATTCTCACTGTTAAGAAGTTTCTTCCTAATTCCAGGCTGCTTTTCTCCTTGATTAGTTTCCATCCATTGTTTCCTCTGGTGCTTTGGAGAATAATTTGGCATCTCCACAAATACTGGAATACTGATAGCCTGTCATCCCAGTCATTCTTTTCTTTAAAGCAGCCAAACCCAAATCCTGCAACTGTTTTTCATGTTTTCATCTCTAGGTCTTTAACCATCTTAGCTGTTCTTCTCTGCATTTTTTCCAATGTTTCAACATCTTTTTTATAGTATAGTGACCAAAAGTGGATGCCATATTCCTTTGTCTTACCAAGGCTTTATAAAGTGGTACTAATACCTCACATGATTTTAATTCTATGTCTCTGTTTATACAACCAAGGATTGTATTAGATTTTTTTGGCTATTGCCATACATTTCTGGCTCATATTTAAGTGATCATCCACTAGGACTGCAAGGTCTCTCTCACAGTTAACCTTTTTGAGCCAGGGTTCAACTAATGTGCACTTGTACTTTAGACTTTTCTGCCTAAATGTAAAACTTTGCTTTTCTCCACTATGAATTCATTGTGTTGAAAAGGGCACATTTTCAAGTCTATCAAGACTTGATCTTGTCTTTTAAGGTCTTGGCTATTGCTGCCACCTTAGTGTCATCTGAAAATTTGATTTGTTTCCCTTCTATTCCCTCAGCTAAGTCATTTATGAAGACATTGAAGAGTCCTGAACCTGAGATAAAAGATTGTGCTTTTATCTCACTGCATACTGCCCTCCGTGTAGATGTAGTATTTCTCCCCCCCAGCCCAAAATTCAGTTGTTAAATGAGTTGAAAACTTAAAAGAAGCGATACAAAAAGGTAGAAATATTGAAAATAGGAAATGTTTGTGCTTATATTACACAGAGTTTCTCTTTATTAATTGTTTCCTGCTGTTTAGCTCTGGCCTAAAAATTATTATATAGCATTTGGGGAAATATATGCAGACAAGCAGCCCAGCGCTGGAAGCCAAAATGGAGAAAACCTCCACAGCCACCATATATTTACCTTTCGTGCTCAGGTAGGATGGAACAAAAGAGAGCCACACACTGCAGAAGATCAGCATGCTGAATGTAAGACATTTGGTCTCATTGAAACTGCTGGGAAGATTCCTGGAGAAAAAAGCTACTGTGAAACTGGCAGTTGCCAGTAAGCCCATGTATCCCAGGACACAGTAGAACATAATATCTGAGCCTTCATTACACTGCAGTATCATTTCCTCAATTTCTGAAAGGGTGTCAATATCAGGGAAAGGGGGAAATGTGAACAACCACACCATACAGATGACTGCTTGAATCAGGGAACAAGAAAGAACAATGGAGGTGGCCAGGCCTCTTCCCACCCATTTCCTCATCCTGGATCCTGGCTTGCTGGCCATGAAAGCCAGAACCACAGTGATGGTTTTTGCCAGCACAGAAGACACGGCCACTGAGAATATAATACCAAAGCTAACTTGTCGGAGGAGACATATTATATTGCCTGGTACAACAAGGAACTGCAGTGAGCAAAGGAAGCAGAGGAGGAGGGAGATGAGTAGAACATAGGAGAGATTTCGATTATTAGCCTTGACAATGGGAGTATGATGATACTTCAAAAATGTTGCCAGCACTGCAAGTGTGCAGAGAGAAAAGAAAAGTACCAGAGTAACTAAACTTATTCCCAATGGTTCTTCATAGGACAAGAAAGATGTTGTCTTGAGAAGGCATGAATTTTGGTTCTTATTTGGATATTGATCTTCTGCACATTTTAGACAATCATCCATATCTAGAATATAAATATATAAAATTATATGTTTTAAAAATATGTTTTTTATAGTCATCCTATTTTTTGTACAATTAAACAGGGGGGTTTTTTTGAAGCAAAATTAATCCTGATTTCTATCTGGATTTCTGAACATGGGTGAATATGGGAATTCTGTATAATGGGAGAAAATGTTACTATACATGATCTTATTTCATGGCACTTATTTCTCAAATTGTTTGTGCATATCTATTTATTTAGGTTTATTGTTAAATTAATCTTGAACAAGAAGCTCTATGGCATGGTATAGCAACCAAATAGGTCAAATATAGATTCCATCAGATAATTAAGGCTGCAGAAAGAACAATTGTAACTAGCCTGCCTTCCATAGTAGACCTGTATACTGAGCAGGTCAAAAGGAGGACTGAGAAAATATTTACAGATATCCTGGACATAAACTGTTTTAACTCCTCCCCTTGGAACACTGCTTTAGGGCATTACATGCCAAAACAACCAGACATAGGGATAGTTTTTTCCCCTTATGCCATCACTCTACTGAACACCTAATTCTCATAGTACTATCTAATGTTTATGATTATTTATCCATAAACTATAACTGTGACATTATTATCCTTATTATCTTCTTTACTATTCCTTATTGGTATTATGGTTTGTCACATAGTTAGCCAGATGTTCAGACTGCATTCGTATTTTTGTCTACCTATCATGTCCTTTCCAATATGTGGATATTTGATAATGTTATAAATATTGTCATAGGATGTAAGCTGTTCCAAGTAAAGCTCATTATTGCAACTGATTGATGATGAATTTGTCAATGCTTATGGTGTCCTAGTAGTGCTTCAGATATTTTGGGATTGCACCCGAACCACCTATTACAATTGGTACTACCTTTGCTTGCTTTTACCACAATCATTCTATGTATTTCTATTTGCAGGTTTTTGTATTTTGTTATCTGCTCCAGTTCTTTCTCTTCTATTCTGCTGTCTCCCACTACTGCCACATCCAATCTCAAGACTTTATTGCCTTTCTTATCGACCATCATTAGGTTTGGAGTTGTATGTGATGTGTGCCTGTCTATTCTACATTCTAAAGTCCCAAAGCAAATTAGCTTTTTCATTTTTTATGACTTTTTCTACTCTGTGCCCAAGTTCTTGCTTTCAGAACTGTTCTTGCTTGCAGGCAAATGATATTTCTTGCAGTGCAGTACTGTTGCTACTTTATCATGATGTTGTTTGTAGTGAATCTGGGCTATGTTCCTGCAGTAGCTAAACAGTTGGTCTACTGTTTCTTCATTTTCTTTGGGTGGCACATACTGTTTCTTGCTGTCTTCATGATTCTGGCTGGGTATGCATTTGTTCTTAAACATACAAAGCTTGGTCTTGTACAGCCAGAATTAGATATGCTGTCTCTTTCTTCAACATTCCTGATCTTAGCCATTGCCAGGTTGTGTTATCTGCTTTCCCTGTTATTTTTTAAGGTACTGGCCATGTAATACTTTGTATTACCTTGCCTCCTTTCTCTTCTTTGTGTGATCTTTCTTATAGGCCAATTTGATTTCTCCAATGTTCACTATGTCTTCCTGATATACAGTACATGTCTTTCAAATATTCAAAATATTCAAATATTCTTCTAATGCCCCCTTTTCTTCTTCTGATGTACTTGCAACATTCCATGCCCACTTATTTGCCTTGGTAGGTAGAATCTGTCAACATTGTTGCATGGATGAAAGTAATTTATTGTCATTATTTTTCTGGTATTCCTATCCATTGCTTTTTGTTCTGTTTGAATTCAGTCTACTATTCCAGCTATGTATCTAATGAATGAAATTGCCCAGATGTTGATTACCTTGATGATATTTCCTCAACTGAGTTTGGATTTAAAATTTTCTTCACTCTCTTGATGTATTCATTTCTAACTTTTTTATTGACTTCATTGTGCTCGATGTTGTCAGCTTAAAGGATTCCAGGTGTTTATAGTGATCATCTTCATCCACATTCTTAATATTATTTCCATAAGCCATCTTGATTCTGTCAATTTTCACTATTTTTCTATGTTTCATGGCAAGCATGGCACATTTGTCCAGTCCAAACTCTATTGCAATATCTTGGCTGAATATATATGGACAGTGTGGAGCAGTGATTCTATTTCAGATGGTGTTTTTCCATATACCTTCAAATCATTCATGTAAAGAAGAAATAGCCTTGTAGATGTTTTAATGTTTGATATCATGCCCTGAGTTATTCAGTATTGTTGACAAAGGAATCAGTGCAATGACAAACTATAGTGGTGATAGAGAATCTCCTTGGACGATTCCTCTCTTAATTCCTCTCTCCAGTTCTTTCACTATTGACCATAACCATGTATTTCATTGTGACATTGATCTTTTCACAAAGCTTCTGATGTTTCTACTGGTTTCTGTTGTTTCTAGATACTTGATTATCCAATCATGTGGCAGGGAGTCCAATGCCTTCATATAATCTATCCATGTATCATGGTTCCAAATAATACTCCCAATCAATTCAAGACATGCTACATTACATTCAAGTTAGTCTACCATTTCTTGCAATTTTTCAGAATTATCTTGTCAATTAGAAGTTGATCTTTTGTCTCTCTGCTGTTTATTTGTTTGTTTTTGTTTTTTTCTTTATAGAATTTATTTGTAAATTGGCCAGTTTCCTTTATACTTTGGTGATAATTGATTATTTTAAGTAGACACTGTTGGATTGTATCAGCTACAATACCAGTTATTAATCCAAAAGCCATTGGTAAGCAGATAATTGTCCTGTACTTGCCTGGTACTTCTTTTTTTATTCTTATCCACTTCCTTTATCCTATATTCTTGTTGTATTTCTTTCTTTCTTATTGTATTTCTTTCTTTCTCTCATATCTGCTCGCAGAACTTGTTTCTTCCTTGTCATGCCTGATTCATTTCAATCACTCCACTGATGGCTTGATTAGATTGAAATTGGAGATTCTGCCTATAATTTGAGATTTGTATTTGCTGATAATCTTGGCTAGAGCTTTGTTTTTCTTTATTATTTCCATGCTTCCTTGATCTTCCTTGTTTCTAAGGATAGATTAGGTGTTCTTTGGATTTCTTGTTCACCGACCTCTTTTTTTTCATATACTTTACTTTGCTTACATTTGATCTCAGTTTGTGATCTTCCAGTATGATGTTCCATTTGATGGTTCACTGTTTGGGTTTTTTTCTTCTTTGTTGATTTTGCACCCCACATGTTTCATTATAACTACAGTTGTGTTGTACATTAGTTGATTTGTTTCTTGCAGTAAGCTGGTGCTTATATCTGATTTCTTTGATCAATTGTTGCAATTCTGCTTGCATTTATAATACAAAATACTTTATTTCATATTATGAATGGATGTTGATCAGTTAGCTTCTGTTCTGTTGTTTTTGACACTAGATGTTATTTTTTTCAGAATGGTGCATTTGTTTCAAATATCCTCTTCTTGTTGGACATGATCTGTAATAACAGATCATTATTTCTTTGTTTTCAATCACTGTATTTTTGTGATGGGTTAAAACCTTCCTTCCAATAATTTGGCCGCTGCTGGCCCTGGTTGCTTATTCAACAGTGCTGAGTCCAATCCTGGGTCCATTTTTCACCAGATGTCCAATAACTCCAATATCTAATGCAATCTTTGTTAATCCAGGTGACAACTAAGCTAGCATGGATTTTTGTAATTTATGTCTCACCATATTTTTTATGGGACAAACAGTCTTTGTCTAACTGCTATAATGTCCAGTATGATTGAACCTCTGGCATAGCTCTCATCTTCCTCAAAGAATACAAGCCCCACCAACACATCAAAGTAGTATTTCACTGGGGCCACTTATTATGACTATGATTATGACTATAACTTTGACTATGGCTATGATGATGATGACAATGGCCAATGGCGATGATGATGATGATGATGATGATGATGATGATGATGATGATGATGATGATGATGATGATGATGATGATGATGTTTTGAATGTACCTTGAAAGTTTCTGTACTGGAGACAAATTTTTATGTGTCTAGCCACACTTTGCCAAATATTCTATTCTATTCTATTCTATTCTATTCTATTCTATTCTATTCTACTCTACTCTACTCTACTCTACTCTACTCTACTCTACTCTACTCTACTCTACTCTACTCCACTCCACTCCACTCCACTCCACTCCACTCCACTCCACTCTATTCCACTCTATTCTATTTTACTCTATTCTTTATTCCTTGGCACAACATCTAATAATAAAAATAAATATAAAAGCACTGCTTTCCCATCAGATAATTTATATTTAGCATTCTTTAATTTTTATATTTCTGCATGAAAATATCAAAGTCTCTTACCCTCCTGATCTGACATTTTCCCTTTGGGACAGGGAAGGCAATCATAGCAGCAAAATGGCTTCTCCTCCTGCTTTCTCCTGAAATAACCACGAAGGCAGTTCTCAGTACAGAGGGAAACAGGTAAGGTCTATCCAATAAATGAAAGAAGGAAAATGTTCAATCACATATTTGGATAGTTTTTATATTTAAAAAACATGGTTGACTGGCATTATGCATAATTGAAAGGATTTGGGACTTTTCCATCACCTTCATTATCAAAACTATTCAAGATTGAATTCTTTTTTACTTCTACCAATTATATTGGTAACATTGTTTCTTCCAAACTGGAAAATATGTTAGGATTAGGCCATTGCCCATTGCTGAAATTATTTCAGTGGGATTCAACATTGAAAATGAACATAGAAAATGGAATGTCATAGTGTATGTCATTAAATGTGCAATAAACTTTGAATACAACATAATGCTTGATCAATTGGTCAATAAGTGGATAAGGTCCTCATTGCAGTCAGTCAGTTAGAACCTTGTGTCTCCTAGTAGCTGAACTAGCAATAGCAATAATATTTAAACCTATACACGTCTTCATATTTCATATGTGAAATGTTAGCGAAATAAAATTATACATTTGTGTGTGTGTGTGTGTGTGTGTGTGTGTGTGTGTGTGTGTGTGTGTGTGTGTGTG